CTCTAGTTGGCGTCAGGGGGACTAGCATGGTCTCATTACCACAGCTCCATCTCTGTCCCATGCCCTTTCTCACAGTCAGTATCCCCTCCTGGAGGGAGCTCGAGGCTTTGGAAAAGAAAACAGAATAATATTAGGAACCTCTAGGTCAGATGTCCAAGGCTGACAGGTCTCTCTGATCTCTTTAGCAATCGTTTCCTATTTTCCTTTGCCATTGTTTTAAGTTCAAATTTTCAGAATCTCGTGGTCAGAAGACTGGAGTAGCGTTTTCGAACTTCTCCAACTCTCAGTCCTTCTCCTCTCCAGTCAATCTTTCTCAAAGTTAACCAGATTGGTCTCTTTGAAATCTACTTCTCATCATTGACTTTCCTTTCCTCCAAGAAGGGAGGATGGGCAGACAATGTTTTTAGGAGACAATGTGTTAGGTGCAAGGGGAACAGAGATGAGTCAAGCTGGACCTCTGCCAGGGAGTGACATTTGGGCAGCAATGCAGATACATGCTGGGTGAAAGCCCAGGGGAAATTCTAGGTTGGGTTTGGTTACAACCATTAAAATTCTTCTGTCTACAGGATAAAGTCCAATTTTCCTAAAAAATTTAAGGCCAGAATTGATTTGAGTATAACTTGCACTTTTGAGTCCTTTATTCCCCTTCATAAATTGTTGCTTGCAATGAAAGTAAACAGTGTTTTCTTTTCCAAGTATCCTGTATCCTACTCCTACCCCACTGTCTGGCCCCTTGAAAATCTTACTAATCCTTCAAGGTCTCCCCATGTCCTCCAAAATTCAAATTCTCCCAGCTTCCAAGCCGGAATCTCCTCCTCTGAACTTCAGAACAAGTTTCCTGTCCCTCTTTGTTTAGTGTGAATACTTTGCTCCCTGTGGGGATGCATACACCTGCTTCTTCAGGGCAGTGACTAGGTCTTATTCAGCGTGATCCACACTGCCTGGCAAGCTGCTTGTACTGGCATCTAATAAAGGTTTCGTGAATGACTGAATGAACACATTTGCCAGGACTTGTCCCTCGGGCGGGCCACAATAGAGGAAGTGTGCAGCTCCAAGCTCACTTTAGAGAAGTTCTCATCCAAAAAGATGTACATTATTGAGGAAACCAGCTTCTGCCTTTCAGGATTTAAGCTTATGTCCAAGTTAGTTTTTAACAAAGTTAAACCAAATTCAGCATACTTCATTTTTCTTAAAATGCACTAAGTGATATAGTTTTAATAGGAAGAGGGCATGCTATAGTAAACAGACTATGGGCTTTGGAATCAGTCAGACATGGGTTCAGATTTCTTTGCCTTTCCCAGCTTTAGTTTGTTTCTTTCTTTCCTTTTTAAAAAAATATTGTATTTATGTATTTATTTTAGAAAGAGAGAGCGAGCACAAACAGGGGAAGTGGCAGAGGGAGAAGTAGTCTCGACCCTAAGGTGGGGTTCAATGTGGGGCTCGATCCCAGGACCCTAGTATCATAACCTGAGCCTAAGGCAGACACTTAACTGACTGATCCACCCAGGTGTCCTATCTTCATCAGTTTATGTTGAGTTTACCCAAAGGTCCCAGACTGAGGCTTTTATAACAATAACTAAGTTCTGTAGTCTGTGTCCTTGGCTCAAGGTGAGCGACACTTCCTGACTTCTCAGCTCTCCCTGTAGTAGTGTCTCTCTATTTCTTTAGCACACTTCCTCTTAATGGTCTTTTACTTTTTACTCTGGGCAAGAGTCTTCATTGATGTATTGTTCTCATGGGGATTTGGAAAACTTTGATTTATTATTTCTTGATTTATAGGCTTATGGAAGATTACTGCTGGAAGGCACATTAAAAATCAACGAACCTAGGGACCTCAAATAGAGATCAATTTCCAACATTGTTCTAGGCATGTATAGTCAATCATAACATTTTCTTCCCTGCTGAGGTCATACATGGTCTCAGAATCATAATATCACAATATTCCAGGTAGAAACTATCAATCCATCATCACGATCAATCCATCATATAGGAAGTGGAACTTGCCTGACATCCTTGATATAGTTCAAAGTTATTATTTTGCTAATGGGACCCAAAGAGTAGTGTTGACTTAATAATGAAATGAAACTAGAACTCAAGTTACTTGACCCTCATGACTGTTGGTCCAGGATTTCCCTTTCCACAGGGTCACTGGTCCTCCTTCAATAGTCATTCAAGTCCTAGAATTTATAATCTGTTTTTTTGGAATTACCTAATAGTATTTAACAACATGATTAAAAAGTTCGATGCACATGTCTTAGCTTTATCAAAAAGACACCTGGGCTTTCATAGATGTTATAAGCTCTTGAAGAAAAGGTCCTTTGTCATACTTTGCATCTTTCACAAGTTCTAGCCCTGTGTCTGGCACGTGGTAGGTATCTAACAAAAATTCTCTGATATACATTCAACTATATAGGTGAAACAAACAGGACTCTATGTTTAATTTCCTACTAACAAGCAGTGAAAAATCCCGCTCTCTTATTTGAAAAGACTGCATGCATATGTACCCTCACTTTTTTTTTTTAAAGAGGGACACCTTATGTTTAAATAAATTCCCATTTCACCCAAATTTTTTAAGAGAGAGTAAATTGTTATGTCAATGACTGGGCTGCCTGTGACATTTATACTTAAAAATACAAGGGGCAGTGTTGTGGTTTGGGGCTCCAAAGTCCTGAGAAATGATAGCTTTTCTTTTTTATGTTTTTCATGGTGACATCTACGGACCATAACTTGTAGTTCTGTGTGATGCTCGCAAGCCAGAATTCTTAGGACAGAAAGATAAAGGAAAAGAGATGAAAGAGCATAAGGAAGAGAGAAGGGCAGGTAGGGGGCAGTATTTTACAATACAGCAATGAGATACTTGTTTTATCACTTAAAAATATATCTTAAAAGCTGTACAAGCCACAGCTGACATCATATTTAAAAAGATTGAATGCTTTCCCCTTAAGGTCAGGAATAAGGCAAGGATGACTGCCCTTGCCACTTCTATCCAACATTGATCCAGAGGTTCTAGCCAGGGCAATCAGGCATGACAAAAAAATAAAAGTCATCTAGGTTGAAAAGAAAGAAGTAAAACTTTCTTTTACATATGGCACAATCTACATATGTATATAGAAAGTGCTGAGGAATCTGCCAAAAAAACCTATTAGAACTAATAAATAGGTTCAGCAAGGTAGAAGAACATGATTTATATACAAAATAATTACATTTCTATACATTTGAAGTGAACAAAACAAAAATGAAACTGAAAAGGTAATTCACATGAAAAAAAAAAGAAATTGGAATCCTACCTCATATTGTATACAAAAAACTAAATCAAAATGGATCAAACACCCAAATGTAAGAACTAAAACTATAAAATTCTTACAAGAATATATGGATGTAAATGTTCATGACCTTGGATTAGGTTCTTTTATATGATAGTTTCTTTTATATGATACCAAAAACACAAGTAACAAAAGAAAAAATATGTAAATTGGACTTTATCAAAATTAAAAACTTCTGTACACCAAAGGACACTAGGAAGAGAGTGAAAAGACAACCTACAGAATGAGAAATAATTGGAAAGCATACATTTGATGAGAGATTGATATCCAGAATATATAAAGAATTTCTACAACTCAACAACAACAAAACCAATTTAAAAATGAGCAAAGGATCTGAATGGACATTTCTCCAAAGAGAATATAGAAATGGCTAATTAGCACACGAAAAAATGCTCAACACCAATAGTCATTAGGGAAATGCAAATCATGACCACAATGAGATACCACTTTGGACCAAATAAGCAGAAGGACATATAACAATGTCGGTGAGAATGTGGAGACATTGGAACCCTCATACACTGATGGGAATATAAACAGGTACAACCATCTTGGAAAACAGTCTGGAAGTTCCTCAAAATGTTAAACCTACAGTTATTATAAGACCCAGAAATTCCACTCCATACCCAATGGAAGTAAGAATATTTGTCCACACAAAAATGTAACACAAACGTTCACTGCAAAATAATCCAAAAAATGGAAAGAACCCAGATGTCCATTAACTGATGAATAGATACACTAAATGAGATATATCCTTACAATGAGATATTATTTGGTAATGAAAAGAAATAAAGTACTTATACATGCTACAATATCTGTGCCTGAGAACATTACTGTGAACTAAAAGGAAGGAGCAGGCACAGAAGACCACATGGTATATAATTCCATTTATATAAAATATCCAGAATAGGCAAATCTATAGCTAAAATAGATTAGTAGTTGCCTAGGGCTGGGTAGGGTAGGGGTGGGGATGAGGTTGGGGGGCCATTGGGAAGTAACTACTTTAGGGATTCTTTATGAAGTAATCAAATGTGATTGTAGTGATGATTGTCTAACTAAATATATTAAAAATTTCCAGATGGTATACTTTAAATTAGTTAATTGCATGGTATGTGAATTTTCTCCGACTAAGGTTATTATTAAAATATATACATGTGCATATAATGCTTTAATTTCGATGATTAAATTTCACTTGTTAATTCTCTTCTATGTCTGTCACAACAATCCATGTATTCACTTAGATGATCCATATATATATGAAATATATATATATATATTTCCATGACCACTGTCTTAGCTTTAAAATGTGCAACAGACTACACATGTTTGTGAAGAGCAGGTAGGTATCTTTTATGAAATCTATCCTTTTAAAACAATTTAAAAGAAAAAGGTAAATGAAAACACTAAACTATCTCTTTGCTCCTTCAGTCTAATCACTACATCAGTTTCATCAACATATCATTTCTGTGGACCACTGGCAGCTTTACCCCCATTATTTAATATATTTACCACAAATCTACTTCATCAGAGAATACATTATTACTTTTAGCAGTACATTTATAACAGTTCTCTACTATCTGGTAGCTCCATAATTTCTTTGCTACTGAAAGCCTAAATGTTAATTACGCTTAAACTCATGGCAGCTGAGAGAACTTAATATTTCGATTATTTTGTACCTACCCCTTTTGAATCAATCACTCCAGGTTTCGCATTAAACTTCACTGTCTTCAACCGGGCACGTTCCTTTCTTTCCACCCTAAAGAAAATTGAAAATAAAGAGCTGATCACATGGCAAGGCATTTATGAGTAAGTTCCCTATTTGTTTTAAAGATTTTATTTATTTGACATTGAGAGAACAAGCAGGGGGAGCAGCAGAGGCAGAGGGAGAAGCAGACTTCCCACTGAGCAGGGAGCCTTATGCGGGGCTGGATCCCAGGTCTCTGGGATCATGACCTGACCCGAAGCCAGATGCTTAACTGACTGAGCCATCTAAGCGCCTTGAGTTAGTTCCTTATTAAATGAAAATACGTCTTATTCTACAGCTCAAATACATGTATTCTAAAGTATTTCTGTTCCTTTGTTCAATATAAAAAGTCTTGGTATATTGTCTCTAAGAGGCTAACATATCCCTTGAAACTTCTGTGTTATATGTAAGGAGAGTCGATTGGAAGAAACGAGGAGGGAGAAAAACTAATATTTGTTACTTAAACGCCTGAAAAAAAAAACAACTAAAAATCTATTATAAGAAATCACAGTGCACAGAGATGAACATCTAAAGTGAAGATTACATAAACTTTTCTATTCTCCTCTGCTCCCCTCTGCACACTTCATCTCTCCTACCCTTTTCTTTCTGTTTCCTTTTTCTTCCCCTCCCTTTAGGAACACTAGGATATTTACCTTCACCTTAAAACCAAACATAAATTCAAGATTATAGGTAATCTTGAATTTTTTCCTTTTCCCCAGTGCTGTTTTCCTGTCATCGCTGCAATTTTTATCATCGTACCTGACACTTCATTCATTCATCAAACACTCATCGAGTGCCTACCACATATCAAACAATGAGCTGGGGGACAAAGAAAAAAATTAAAAAGCATGACTGCAATAAACACACAGTAATGTGCTCCTGGTAGAAATAGAGACATCGAGACTGATAATGTTGCCCAGTAAGATTGCTGAGAGCAATCAGTGGGGTTGGGGGTGGGGCATCTATCTTACTGGAGGGTGAGAAGGAGGGGTAGAAAGCGTTGGGGTGGGCTTCTTGGAAGAGGTGTCAATCTATGTGAAATTTGAAGAGTAAGAAAGAGCTTGTCAATAGTAAAAGTTTGGGGAGAGTTTCCCAGACAGGAGGAACAATGCATACCATGACCTGGGGATATAAGCAAGATAATGATTGCAGGAAGATTCTGGTATTGGGTATATACAGGATGGGATGTGAAACAGTGAGGTGGGTGGCGGGGCCTCCTTATAAAAGAGATCCATCCACACTAAGGATTTGGGCTTTTTCTTTGGAGAATCCTCATAAGTTATTAGAGGATATAAAGCAGAGAAGTGATCAAACAGATTAGTATTTTAAATAATTAATCCTGGTGGAGGAGGAAGATAGATGGGGGATGGGGTTGAAAAAGAGGTAAAGAGAAGTTAGGTATCTCCTCGATTTCTTTTTTTTCCTTTCTTTTCTTTTCTTTTTTTTTTTTTTTTTGGCTTAAGCCTCTTCAGTTAGACATGATCACTCACTCCTTCCTTTAAGTCACAACAGTTCTTATTTGTATCTTCATGTTGGTATTATCTCTCGTGTCCTTGTGTTTATTTTCTCAGTGCACATACAAAGCTGTCTGTTCCTTGAGGGCAAACCCACATATCACTGCACAGTATACTGTACCAAGTCCTCAATAAACCACTGGTAACTAAAATGATCTTTGAGGCATTGTTTTAACTTGACTTTTTGCCTCAATATGGCTAATTCTAATTTCAAAAATGGGGAAAGAGAGAAGAAAAGCCCTGAATCTACAGAAATTAATGGTTTATAAAATCTAAGCTATTCATAGATCAATAATTAACAACATATTGCTTTTTAACTGAGAGCTCTTTTGTGTTCCCAGCTGGAACAGAGTGAAGATTAGGGTTTCTATAGTTACAGAACAGAGTTCAGAATATATTTCAGTATGAGAGGAGAATATTTGAGTAGAAACAGCTGAACAAAAATTTTTATATCTAACCTCCGATATTAAAGCAATATGTTCCAGTGAGAGTTTCTACTTGTACCCGACATACAACAGTTGGGAAGAGCTCAAGGAAGCCTTCAGATAAGGTCAGCTGCCAAGTGGAAAAATGCTCACTGAGAAAATGCCTGTTTTAAGCGACTTCAGCTTTTCTCAGTTTTAATCCAAGTGCAAATGTTAATTCATATTCATCTCTCTGGATCCTTCTAAAACTGTTCTTACAGCCCTGACTTTATCCTGGCTTCTTTGCATTAACCAGGCTAATTATGGGAAACACTCGTACATTAGATGATGCCAAAATGACATGCAGAGATACATGGTTATTTGATCTGGCTATGCAAAAAATTCTGCATGAACTCACAGAACTCATAGGGCTCCAAACATATATTAGGCTGAAGTCAGGATTCTAAGAACTGTTTGGAAAGAGCATTCTAATTTTTGCTTCCAGGTTTCCACACTCACCCTTTTCAGATTTCTTAAGAAATGTCCCTATTAGGCCGTCTTTAGTGGTTCATCTCTTATTTTTTTTAAATTTTATTTATTTATTCATGATAGACAGAGAGAGAGAGAGAGAGAGAGAGAGAGAGAGAGAGAGAGGCAGAGACACAGGCAGAGGGAGAAGCAGGCTCCATGCAGGAAGCCTGACGCGGGACTTGATCCCAGGACTCCAGAATTGCACCCTGGGCCAAAGGCAGGAGCTAAACCGCTGAGCCACCCAGGGATCCCCAGTGGTTCATCTCTTAAATTTTAAAAGGATTGCAAAGAATGTTTAGATGGACACACACACACACACACACACACACACACACTGCTATTATTTGCTATGGTTTATTAATCTTCAAAGAGGCAATAGAAAAAAAAAACAATTTTAAAGTGCTACTGTAGGTGGCATGGTTTGAGCTCATGAGGAAGTTGGAAAGTTTTGCTTTCTATTGGGGTTGGAAGTTTTTCTAACAATAATGATGATAATATAAGTGTTGGCTGAAGTTTTAACAGAATTATTAGTGAAAAATTCCTTTTCATTTATATCCTTTCATTTGGTTCTCACAATAACCAAGTGATGTAGATATTATCGATCCCATTTTATAGTTGGGAAAGCCAAGATTGAAGCTTGCCAAGTTTCAAAAGTAGTAGAAATAGGGCCTGAACAAACATCTGCTAAAAGATAACTTGAGTTTCTGTTCACATCTAGTCAGTTTGGGAAAGAGCATTCAAGGATCTTCCATGTATGCCTTCTGCAATGGGAATTCTCAACACAACTGAGATTGTGGATGAGTCATACACAGTTTTAAGGCCAACACTGATCTTCAGAAATCTGTATTAAAATTTTCACAAATGATAACCAAACTTTTCCCTTGTATCCCAATATCCCAAATGTCCTGAATTAAATAAACCATAACCAAATGCAAATATATAATCACTTACATAACACCATAACGATAACAGGCTGGGCTTTAAATTATTATTGTTATTTTTAAGAGTGTGAGTGCAGGGGGACAGGAAAGGGGAAGAGGGAAAGGAAGAGAGAGAGAATCCTAAATAGACTCCATGCCCAGTGTGGAGCCTGATGCAGGGCTCGGCTCATGACCCTGAGATCATGACCTGAGCTGAAATCAAGAGTCAGATGCTTAACCAACTGAGCCATCTAGGCACCCCTGGGCTTTAAAATTTAGAATAAACTTTAAGGCTGAAATTTAGGTTAGCTACATGATTATATGCATCATTATAAATATTGAATTACATCATAAATATTGAATTAATTTCTCTCCTTGGCAGTCTTTTTGCATTCAGTACACCCCCATCATAGTTTTGCTTTCCCATCCCAGAGGCCCACATTGATTACCTCTCTTAGTGGTAGGTGGCTGTAGCTTATGTTTTCTCCTACATACCTCAGTCCCTTCCTCTCTTCTAGTGCTTCTTGGGATGCAGGTGGTTAGCTTATTGTTCAAATGAGAGCAGGGCTGGGAAATAGGGCTCTTAATAATGCTGTTTTCTTTTAAGCACTAAAATCTCAAATACAAAGAAAGGAAAGCCCCCATCATTTGAGTATGCACAAAGTATTTGATGTTGTACTAAGTAAGCACTTTGCCTATATTAACTATACCTGCACAATGATCCAGGGCTTAAGATGGAGCTGGGCATATAGTAGGTGCTTAATGAATCTTTGTTGAATAAATGAATGAATGAACAAATACATGATTAAACCCTCAAGGAGCGTTCTTGACATGGATGTGAAAATTGAGACTCAAGAGTTAAGTGACTTAAAAAAAAAAAAGAGTTAAGTGACTTGCCCTCAAACTGTTTTCAGCCAAAGTTATTTACCAATTCTTGACTTTTTCACTTGGTAAGAATCTACATAAAGTTGAGCATCACCTTCTCTAATTATATTACTAAGTAGACTCCTCTGGCAGAAATAGATAATATTAAAGCCCACAGATCTTTACACCTAAGGAAATGGTAGACCACCTGTATAGAAAGACTGAATCAAAATGAGAAGTACTGCCTTACTTCTCTCACACTCAAGAGGCAAGCAATTAATTAGATTATTTAAGCAGAAATAATCCTCTCCACCCTAGCTTGGTCACTGACCAAAATACTGAAAATATAAACTGGATCACAAAATCTGAGCAATCAATTCTGACAGCTAGCATCTCTAGGGAGTACCAAATGGTCATGCTTCAATGAGCCCAACTGTCTCCCTCTACCCTCTCACCCATTTCCCATCTGGCATTTTCAGGTTCTGGCCAAACACACAATGAGGTCAGGCTTGGAGCACTGGATGATGGGAGCATCATTTGATGCTGGGTGTTCCTGTCCTGGGGCTCAACAAGGGTGGAAATGCCATCCATGTGACTGGCCACAGGCTCTCTGTTAAGGGTAGGCGAATAAACCTTAAGGCAATGCTAGCTACAAACTTGTCATCTGAGAACCCAGGTGACCATCACTATGAGGCAATGAATAAAGACTTAGATTAAGACACTGTGGAACAAATCATATTTTGGCCAGTCACAAAAACTACATCGTCTCAGGAAACAGTGGTTCTGTACTATGAGCTCAGGTTTTGAAATCATACAAGTCTGGGTTTGAATCCTGCATCTGTCACTTACTAGCTCTGTGACTTAGGGTAGGTCATTCAGTCTCTTAGGATCTTATGATTTATGTTGGTGAACTTAGAGTAGTGACACAAAAGTCAAAAAGTCAAGGTGAATGTTAAATAAGATAATATGAAAAATGGTTTAGCACATTATCTGTGCTAACCATAGCACAGGAGTATTAAGAACTCCTAACAGACAATTCTAGCATAGTCTTGCTGTAGTGGAAAGTCGTGTGGTCTTGCTATCAGAGAGACTTGGGTTCAGCCAGGGTGGGTGGTTGTGAATCCTTGGGCAAATTACTTGACTTCTTGGACCTCAGTTTCCTCATGAGGCTTTTGTGAAGATGAAATGAAATTGTGTATTTGAAAGCACCTGACACAATACACGACTGGTTCTATGTCAGATGGAGTTTGTGCCTATCTGCTGTCCTTTCACATTCCTTGACCCCTGCTATGGACTGAATGTATTGGTCCCAAGTTTCTGTGTTGAAGCTCTAATCCCCAATGTGATGGTATCTGGAGGTGGGGCCTTTGAGAGAGAATGAGGTGAGGAGGGTGGAGCCCTCATGAATGGGATTAGTGCCCTTATAAGAAGAGAGAAATGATCTTCCTGTTAGCCATGTGAGGGTACAGCAAGAAGGCTATCCACAAACCAGGAAGAGGGCCCTCACTGGGAACCCAAATAGCCAGTGCTTTGAAATTTGAAATTTGAAATTGGACTCTCTAGCCTTCAGATCTGTGAGAAATGAATGTCTATTGTTTAAATCACCCAGTCTATTGCATTTTGTTAGGGCAGCCCAAGTTGATTAGGATAGCACCTCTAGTTACAAAGAGCCCTCATTGACCTAATCACAGTGTAGCTGTGTCTTAGGCACATGTTTAGTCCCACAAACATGTGACTCCAGTTGTGCTCCAGTGACCCAATGAAAGTGCCTGGCACACAGACACTGCTCAAAAAATGCTTGCTAAATTAAATTTTGTTAAGTCTTATTTTTGTAACTTTAGGAGGAAGGACTGCATATACATTGAGAGTACCAATTTTGTTGGAGTGGCTGGGTGACTCAGTTGGTTAAGCATCCAACTCTTGATTTTGGCTCAGGTCATGGTCTCAGAGTCATGCAATGGAGTCTCGCGTTGGGCTCTGTGCTAGGTGTGGAGCCTGGGTAAGATTCTCTCTCTCCCTCTCTCTGTGTGACCCCCCCCTTTACAATAAAAAAACAGCATCAATTCTGTAGCCTGAATTCAAATCCCAGTTCTGCCACTTAGTAGTTGGGCAATTTCAGGCCAAGTTAATTAACCTCTCTAGCCTCAATCTCCTGAAATGTAAAATGGGCATAATTATAATATCTCTCATAGGGTTTAATGAGGTTTAAGTAAGTACATTGTAAAGGGCTTAGAACAGCATCTAGCATGCTCTAGGAATGTTTTGTTAAATAAAATTTCTTCATTATCTTAAAAAAAGGATAGAAATAATATTCACACTCTCCATCATGGCTTTGTTGGGATGATTAAATGGAATAAATAGAGAAACATATTTGTAAAGGGTAAAGTCATGCCCTCATGTTACTCAGTTTGAGATTTTCCCAGACCAGCTCCACTCACTGAACTATACTCAGAAAAGAGGCTAGCAAGGAATTAAAGATTGAAAAATTTAACCCCAATATAATAGTAAACCATGTTTTACCAGCTCCCACTTATTCTGAGCTGTAGTTGTAAGATGCTAAATGTAGTGTGAAATGAGGAAGCCTTGCATAAGAATTCTTTGTGGGGTAGGAATATAAATGATTTTTGTTTCTTTTTTATACTTCTAAAAAATTTCTCACTTTCTTATAATGAAATGTGTTACTTTTATAAACATATAAAACAATAATGATAGCATTTCCTGAAAGGATTAAAATCCTAAGGGAAAATGTTGCCAGAAATTCATTTTTAGCCATAAACTCTCTCTCTCTCTCTCTCTCACACACATACACACACATAGGGGAAAGCTACTATAACATTCATGAGATAGAATGCAAATAAATATCAACATTAAAGTCACTAGACAAACCTATTTTTCAGGCTAGCTGTAGTATGGTTGTTAAGATGGTTTTTATCCAAAATAGGAAAGAGACCACTTAAGAACGACCACCAGCAGGTGGAAAATTGTCTCAAGAGGAATAGCATTGAGAATGTTCCTTGGGGGGAAAAATAAAGTATCATTGAACCAATGAAGGGCTATTGACAAGACTGGTTAGAATCGCAGAACCTCCGGGTTGGAAAGGGTCTGAAAAATTGTATAGTTTAACTCTCTATCCAAAGCTTGAATCCCTTTTATTATATTTCCTGACACCAGACCTTCTATTATCAGAATCACCAGGAGGGATTTATAAACAAATACAGATTTCCAAGACCAACTCCAGATGGACTGCATTAGAATATTTGTGTGTGTATGTACGTGTGTGCATGTGTGTGTACACACATACATACATGCACATACAGAGGAGAGAGTCAGAGAGGGAGGGAGCGGGCACTTCTGTTTTTATAGTGCTCCCTTGGTATGAAAACCACTATTGTGGTTCACTATCTTCCCACGTAATCCATATCATTTCTACACAGCTCCGACTAGTAAAACAATTTCTTTAAAATGAGCTGAAATCTATTCCCACATAGCTTTTTTTTCCTCTATTCTATTTCTATCCTTGGGGCCATATTCAGTAAGACAGCTCTTTCTTCTATAGAGCAGCAGCTCAGAGAGCTCTGATGAATTAAATCGAAGCAAACCAAAATGCACGTTGCCTTGACTTTTTTTTTTAAGTAAATGGAAATGGAAAAACAGAATACAAACTAGTACTGAGAGAGACACTGCTTTGAATATACATCCTTTGAGAAAACCCTACAAGCCATAGCACAAACTTAGAATGTCCACTCAAAACAATTTCAGCCAACTATTCTGGAGCCCAGAGGTTTAATGAAAGTGACCCAGAGAACTGTCCGGTGGTAGGAGACTCCCAGACAGGGGTACGGGAGGCAGGGAGGTTCTCTGGAGTTTCAGTGGCTTCTTCATGGCTCCTCCCCACTAACCATGATGGAGCAGCTGTGTGACAGTCAGCCTGCTGCCGTCTTCCCACATTTTGCCCTGGGCTGTTATGGCCAAAGACAGAGAAGGATGGGAGACCAGTGTTCTCTGGGGTGCCAGCACTCCACAGAGTCATTCTTGGGCATAACTGATCTCTTCCTACTATGGTGTAGGCTAGCTCACCTGCTGGGTTGCTTTGAGCACTAGGGTGCTTAACTTCACTGAGGACTCTTTATAGAGGTTTTTGGGGTATTTGGATATGAGAAAGAAAGCCCTTGAGAAACCTGCAGCTTGAGAAAAGTTGATGACTGCCTTGAGGAAACATTATTCCTGGCTTTAATTTCAGAACCATATCTCTTTAGTGGGTTACAGACAAATTTATTTCATGGACAATATCTTGGTGCCAAAAAGAGATTCACGGGTAGAAAAGTTCCTCCCTGGTCATGAGGACTAGAAGCTGCTGGGTCCCATGAGGGAGTTGGCTGTTTCAAAGTTATTTCTGCCTTGTGAAAGCATAGCTGAAGAAATGTTTATTTTTTTTATTTTTTAAATTTTTATTTATTTATGATAGTCACAGAGAGAGAGAGAGGCAGAGACATAGGCAGAGGGAGAAGCAGGCTCCATGCACCGGGAGCCCGATGTGGGATTCGATCCTGGGTCTCCAGGATCGCGCCCTGGGCCAAAGGCAGGCGCCAAACCGCTGCGCCACCCAGGGATCCCAAAGAAATGTTTAGAAGAGAAAGAGCACAGTAGTCTTGACTCCGGAAACACATATAGAACTAAATATCTGATCGAGTGAAGGTGGGAGTTGCGGGGTGGGTAGGGAACAGGAGTAATGGAAACAGTAAAATACAATTATAAACCCAATCTTAGACCTCACCAGATTATTTGACAGCTCATATCCCAAGCATCTGAATTTGTATGAAGGTTTTTAGGTTTTTCCCCCGTCGATAATTGAACATAATACATAGAAAGGTACTTTGCTTCGTAAATTATACTTTATTTGGCTTTCACCTGACCTTTCTGTAAAGTTGTCTTGCAAATCTGAACCTCTGGAGTAACACCTGAGTGTGTAAGTCAGCATATGTGCTAAGATAATCTTGAACATGTGGATGCTGGTATACATTTTAGGAAGGTGGTGTAAGCAGATTTCCTTTCTTTCTTTATGCCTTATCACAGCCATCAGTTTTGGCAAAACCCTAATATGAGAAGAGTGAGAATATTTAACTCATGTCACCTGTCACCACTGACAATTTTCCTGCAGATTGACTATCCCACTCAAATGGTTATTTTGTGAACAGTTTGTCATGTCTTCATTTCCCTCATATCCACTCCCTAGATAGCTAAAAAGCAAGCACTATGAAATAGAAAAAGCATTTTTACCTCCGTTTGCTGGGGATGACCCCCATCTCCTCACTGTCCCCCTCCAGCGTGACTCTCCTGGCTTGCCACCACTCATCATCAGAGGCGTTGATAACATGGAGAATATCTCCATACTTAAAACTAAGTCCTTGACTTGGCAGCCCACTGTCCTTGCTCTTGTCATAGTCAAACATGGCTCTGTAGAAACGACAAGAGAGAACATCGTTAGGAACCTCTGCAGCACAGATTTGAAATTCACCATTTTGATTACCCACTCTTGCCCTGAGAACCCTTCATCCATTTAATACCAGCTCCCGGAACTGACTCCCAGGATTGCAGTCCACATTCCTACTATGGCAGTCACAAATCAGCATTAGTTCCTGCCTCTCTGTGGAGGCTGCAGGGGCAGCCTCTGGACCCCTAAAACTGGTGTCTTTTCTTGGAGATCACCATATGTGGCAAGGTGATAATGGGAGATGTGGCAAAGGCAGTTTGGTCTGAGATTTTGTTTCCCTCCTACTACAATCAAATTTTAAAAGTTACTAAAAAGAAGGAAATAATGAAGAATAACATGGCCATCTTTCCGAAGGGAGCATTTTGTGTTATGAACAAATCCTCTCAGATGTATCAGTCTGTGCAACTCTTTCCTTTGTGACTGGGAAAAATGGTAATAACTTAAATGCTATCCACAGGGAACTGTCCTGTTTCCACTCACTGGACTATGGGACCATTACTGAGGTTGACACTACATTGTATGTCTGAAACTAATAGAACACTGTATATGAATTATACTAGAACTCAATTAAAAAAAACAAAATGCTAATTAAAACCACAAAAACATAAATAAAAATAAAATAAATTGAAAGGTTGCAGAGGTTAATCTAATGACACGAGTAAGTGCTCAAAATGTAATCATGAAAAAATGCGATTACACCTACGTTTATGTGTGTGTTTACAGATAGATCAAAATTATATGGATAAGACACATCTTTTCGCTTCCAGAGAATGAATGCTAAGCCTACTTCAGCATTGCACTCATCACTCTGAATTGTAATTCTGGCTTTATGTACCATTTTTCCCTCCTTAAAGAGCACATGCTGAGCCCTTGCTAAGCCTAACACACTGTAACATGTATGAATTGGTGGAGTGAGGGAATCGCAAACAAAAGTGAAATAAATGATGCCCAAGACCTTAGTAGGTAGGTGTTGCCTTAAGCAACTGACAATTTGTCTCCAAATCTTCTATTGCCTGGCTCCTCCTGTGTCGCTCACACACCACCACGTACGGCATACGATTTCTCAGAAGCAGGTTTTGCCATCTCCCTGCTTATTCCCTTTTGATTCCATTCTGACAGTTTCCTTAGAATGTAGTAACTACTATGCAAGCAAAACTAGACAGATCTGGGGAAAAGATTTTTCTAAGATCACTGAAGACCAAATACGGTTCTTTTCCTTTCTTCTTTTTTATTTTTTCCTCATGAAAGAAATGTCACATCTGCTGTCATGGCAACCAAAAAGAGCTGAAGACAGCATGTAGAGCCCTCAAATATTGTAGGAAAATTTGAATTACTTGCAACACAGCTCCTTCTTCCATTAACTCTGTCCCTAAGTAATGGAATTGGTGGAGAGTTTCTTGGTCTAAGCTCCCAGAATGACTCACTTCCACCTCTACCATCTGCATCTTCCCTATGGAAGACTTTGGCAAAGCTCCACCCAGGCAAAAAGGGGCTGAGAGGGGGCAGAGGCCCACTTCTAACGCTGTTACTGCTCTGGCTGGGTGATGTGACATAAATTAATTAGCACTCCGGAGCCATGGGTTTTTGTAATGCCAAATTAGTCCAATAACTACGTTCACACGGAGCTGCTGTGGACATTAATAAGACATGTGAGGCACCCAGCTCATGGTCGGGGCCGTGTAGCAACTGGAGCATAGTGGTTAAGTATATAGACTCCTGGGTCACACTGTTAGGGTCATTTCCTGGTTCTACTACTTCTTGGCCAGTCATATAGCTGGTTATCCATGCAAGCTACTTTAACTTTCTTAGGCTTCAGATTCCTCACATAACAACAATGATAATAGTACCCCCATTATGAAATTGTTGTATGGATGAAATGTTATATATGGTAAAACATATAAAATTAAGCATGTATAACAATGCCCAGCACATAGTGACAATCAATAAGTATGAATTATCATTATTATCTTGCCTTTCCCCTGTGAGTGGATATTCATAAAAATCTTTTCTATAAATTCTACTCTGTGCAAAAAAGGAGTTAACATAGCAAGCTTGAGATTGCTATCCTTAAAAAGACCAGTCTGCAAGGGTGGCTCTTAGCTGAGATTTGGGAAATTAGATTTTGGGAAGCTTCTCACTATTTCCTATTAAGAATGGCTCACCACACATAAACTGTTTGTATAAACAACATTCAAACTGAACATTTACTATTCTTCTTCTTTTTTTTTTAATATTTTATTTATTTATTCATGAGAGAGAGAGAGAGGCAGAGACACAGGCAGAGGGAGAAGCAGGCTCCATGCAGGGAGCCCGATTTGGGACTCCATCCCGGGACTCCAGGATCACGCCCTGGGCTGAAGGTGGTGCTAAACTGCTCAGCCACTGGGGCTGCCCATCATTTACCTTTCTTCTTTGAGTCTGGAATTGTGGTACAGGCCAGGCAGAAGGGGAATACATGATCAGCCCCCAGTAAAAACCCTGGACCCTAATGGGGTCCGGCTGATTTTATGGAGAGGGAAATGGGGAGCCTTGGGCAGAATGAGAGCAGAGCTGGGGCAGGAATTACAGGAATGGCACCTCAGGCTTCCCCCAAAATAGGCTGGCATCACCCAACTCCCGTGAGACAGATAAGGATACTCGAGGTTTGCAGGGCCCAAGGATTGCCTCAAGGTCACATGGGTGGCAGCCTCAAGGTCACATGGGTGGCAGAAGTCAAGGTGGGGCAGCCTGGAGCAGGTGCAGGATCCTTCTACAGGCTGGGTGAGTTCTCAGTGGGGGAGTCAGGGTGAGGTGACTGGGTCACCCTGAACCCTTCCCTTGTAGACAACATTTTACACCTGGTGTCACAATTTGTTGCTGGAGGAATTAGGCATGTCCCATGTGACTCCACTAAGAGAAGACTCTTGGAGGCTTTTGCCCAGTTTCTTCTGGATTTTGTCCCCAGTTCCTTTCCCTTTGCTAATTTTGCTTTGTGTCCTCTTGCTATAATAAGTCATAGTCCTGAGTATGACTATGCTGAGTCCTGTGAGGTCTGCTAGTGAATCATTGACCCTGGGAGCTGTCCTGAGGGTCTATAGATTGCAAATCATTTTCCCTTACACTACCTCATTTGTGACTCATGCATTCTGACAAAGAAGGTATGATGGATATAGTACTATATCCCCTTTTTATAGATGAGGGAGAGTCTAGCTTCGGAAACCTCAGGCTGGAGCTTGAGTCTTCTGATCTGGAGTCTTAGTGCAATGCTCTTCATTTTCTTCTTCACCAGGCCCCCCATTCCGACCTCAGTCTGAGAGGTGGTGACAAGGTAGCAAGGATGATGACCATGATGGCTACCACTACTTATGCTCACATTAGATAGCTTGGTATTTTGTATTCGCTGTCTTATTTGACATCATAAGAACTTGAAGGTAAAAATTAATATCCTCATCTTACAGATGAGGGAAGGAAGCTCAGGACACTAAGGCACCTGCCCCAGGTCACATGTACGCATGTGGTGGAGACTATATCTAGAATATGGTATGTCTGCCTCCTAAATCCACATTCTTGGACATTCCATTGTAAGGCTCAGTTTTTCAGCCTGTTGTCCTCTGGTGGTGCTCACAATTTGGCAGTACCAGGAACTCTTAATCTCTCTGCAAGGCTGACCACTTCCCTGACCCCCTGCTCCCAAGTCCCCAAAGCTCTTTTACTGCCCAGTTCTTGTCCTAGTATTTTTTTATCCTAAGAGTCTTTGAACTTCTGGTTTAGCTCCGGGCTCCTTCTGTATATAAAGTGTGGGGAGTGGAGGGAGAAAAGCCCTCAGGAGAGCTGGCAGGTGGTCACCAAGAAGGCAGGCTCTAGGGTTGGACTGCCTGGGTTTGCAACTTTTTAACCATGTGATTTTAAGCAAGTTCCTTAGCTTCTCTGGGCTTCAGGTTTCCTTAATTATAAAGCTGGTATATAATCACACTCATTACTTCAAAGAGTTGTGGTGAGGATTCAATGAAATAATAAACAGAAAGTACTGCAACACCAGCCTGGCACAGGCTGTGCTCAAAAAATGGCAGCTACTCTTACTATTACAATTGTTTTTCTGAAAAATGTGCTGGCCTTGAATCAGGGGATCTGAGTCCCAACTGTGCCACTTAGTAGCTGTCTTGTGGACTGTGTATAAAGACATCTAAAACACTTCTCTACCCTCAGGGTGCAGTACAGCACGGGGCACATAGAAGATCCTCAATATGGGTCTATGGGTCTGTGGAAATGTTTCAGATAAACTTTAAAAGCCCTGCTTCTCTCAAGCCTGTGTCCTCATGTGTAAGGGAGGGGAGTAGAGACTGTTTCTAGTGGTCCCTACCTGGCTAGACATTCAATCTACTGTGCTCCATTCTAGTCCCAAGAATCTCTGAGGGAAGGTTTCCCCCTTCTGTCTTCAGTGATAGGTGTCCCTGGAGAAGGGATTCAGTAACACGCTCTTCCCCAGTTTCATTCATCTTGGACAATCTGCCCCTCTAGGATTACTGATTTCAGACTTGTCACGTCCCTGAGAAGAAGCAACTGATACATTTCAGCAGCTTCTGGCTCCTTTGGCTATTAATGGATCTCCATGTCTGGGAAAAATGCTACAGTGCCCCATCACCTAATTTAAAAAGTGATAAGCTGTTTTTAATTTGCTTTATGTGCTAATTCATCACAGCAACCTTTATAAAATGCCATTAAGACTCACACTTCATACCCAGGATGCTTTTAACAAGTCCATTAGACAAGTAGAATTAGAGAGGAATAATGCAATGTGTCTCCCATCCCTCCTGCCCCTCCTGCATTTATTTCACCATGTCATGGCCCTTTGCCAACTGGGGAAGTCTAGGAAGGTGAGTGAAGCAGTTGCTCATCCTCATGGTTGTGCAGCATGACTGGGAGACACCTGAGCACCTGATGAAAATTGTGCTTATTAAGTGCCCCATAACATGCAAAAGACTTT